TTATATGCCATTTCTGTAACCTTGACCGGGGATTATTGTGGCTTTATGTTGTCACTAGATTTATTTATCATACATGGTCATGATATAATTCATAATTCCTAGAGATAAAAAATGCAAGTTTCCAAAAAAATCATTTTTTATGTGTTTCCTGGCCTATATCGAATGTAAAAAAGATTCAAAAGGAGTATGATTGCACATCTTTTGGAAACAGTTTGCACGAAATTCTTGTGTCACCTATTGGTAATAGAGTTCTATAAACATGCACACAGTTTCAAGTAACACAGCTTACCCAACTCTAACAAAGCAGCGCTGTTGTGCTTTAGGCTGAAGGTTAGGGAGATTCGGAACAAACTCAGAAACAAGAAACTGAAGACCAAATGGCCTATTGCCGACCGGCAATGCATTTACGAAACTTAAGTATAGTTAAATATGACCTGGTATAACCACTTCTCAATTGGCGGACCGTCATACGATTTGTATACCCTAAATAATAAAAAAGATATCTGATGATGATATATCTCGCGCAAGTTCTCAGACGACTGTAGGAAATCTAGAAGTCGAAGTTTTGTTATTTATAAATTCCTTTAATTTATATGGGGTGACCGCAGTGGAGGTAAAGCAAAGACGAGAAAGATATTTTAATAGTTACTTATATTAAACTATAAAAAAAATTAAGTAAGTAATTTAGAGTACGTCCGAAATTAGGGACGTCAAGTCGAAAAGTGACTTATAATTAGTACGTAAAATAACAAGTTTGTCAGCGGTCACATTGTAATGCACGGGATGCATATTTTCTATGCAAATGCAGGTGTATTCAACTGATGTTATAGCCTTTAGGTGTTCGCTAATCTGGACACATAACTCCTTCATTATGATTACTAAATAATAATAAAAACTAACGACAGCTTTATCAGGTGCTGGTATCTATTCATGTCGATCCACTGCATTGGTGTCACTAACCCTTTATTGGAACTCAGGAAACCTGCTACACAGTCAATATCTAGAAAACACATTTGACGAAAACGCTTTTGTATTGGTAGTCTAGATCGAAAGCTCTACGAAAGTCTGGTGATGAGACCCTAAATAAAAGACACATTCAGTATGAATGCGGTGCTGATGCTTGATAACCAATGGTGTCCAAACTTAAAGAGTAAGACAACGGCTTATAGTTCTTAAGTGGGAAACAAAAACGTAGACAGATGAGCTGAAAATCAACTGTTTGACCATAATTTAAGGTGCATGCTCGTCTAGAATTTACTAAGAAACTTTGTTCTTTGATTGCATTTCTGAAAACCAATTTATTTTAACCTACTTCGCATTTAAAAAAAATAATTAATTACCATCACAACAGAGTTTTACGTAAGTCGAGTTATAAAGTAGAAATATCCTCAAAATATTTACCTACTATTTGAATGTATTTTTAATGTATACTTTTATTCTATACTTTAGGATGTGTAGTTAAGGTAAAACATCGTAAAATGAGGAAATGTGTATCAGGACAATTGTAAATCACAATTGTCCTGATGCACATTACCTCATTTTACGTGATAATTTGGGGGTTTTCCTTGTTCATTTCTTTGTCCTTATCGATGATCTCACTTAGTGGTTACTCAGTTTAATAATTTATTAAACTGAGTAACCACTGTCACTCAGTTTAATAAAGAGGAAAGTCATGTTTGCTCAAGGGTAGTAACTAGCGTAATAGAGGTGAAAAGCATACAGATGAGTATAATCCAGAACTAAAAGATTCAAGACATGTAGACATTGTTTGAGGATTTGCCACAATATACAATCTACCGGCTGTATGTATAGGTATACCTTATTTTACATAAGTCATGACCTATGCCGCGTGCAACAAGTAGGTACCATTTAAATCAGACTTGACAAACTACTTACGATGAACATCAAGAGGAAGTACATTAATATATTCATAGATGTATTCTAACTTCAATTTTTATACGTACTAGTCTACGGTTGTGTCTGTGAGTGATCTAAAGTAGTATCTTACTAGTACACGGCTACACCGTTTTGTCGACGGGGGTAAATCTTCCAAAGTTACCCGGCGTAACTGGAGGGAAATCTTCCAAAGTTACCCGGCGTAACTGGAGGGAAATGTCGAGTTGTGTGGAATTTTTACCCACGAATACCCCCCAGTGGGCTTCGTCTGTGCATGTTCAGAGGCTCCGGGATCTCTAACGACTGTCACCGGTGCACAGGGCTGTACCTACAGTAACATAACACAGTCTGGACTAATTGTTATCGGAAGTCTGTTTCTTCTCAGTAAACGCTAGTCTTCGCTGACTTGCACTCTCGCCCGACTGAGTTGCTCGCATTGGTGATAGAGTTGCTAACGACTTTCATTTCAATTTTATTTATTTGTTGTAATTGCATTCCACACTCGTGCTGTGATCTCTTAGACGCCACCCATTAATCCTACCCTAAACGATTAGATTTTGGCGCAATCAATAATGTAATTATAACATTTGCAGGTCTAGAGCGGCTCCGCGGCGTGCCTGGGCGGTGGGAGCCGCCGGAGGGCGCCACGGACAAGCTGTGCATGGACGTCGGTAACGGAGCCTACATCGAAGTCTCGCATCCCTCGCCGCACGGAGATCAGATGTAAGATTTGCTGCATATGAACGACAATTACATAGATCTTGTCAAGCTATGTTTGGCTATGACCTGTATACCAGGTTATACGAGCACGCACACGCACGCAATACATTGCATAGTACATACACAACCACACACTGCACGCACACAATGCACTTTGAGCATAATAAAATAATCTTTAAGTACGAAAGAAGGATGGCGACATCCCGTGTATTTTGTGACCCAGTGTTTTTAATATTAATAATAATAATAATAATAATAATAATAACGCACACACTCAACATAGCCCCGCACTAGGGAAACCCTGTGTCGCGGGTGCCATGGACACACACATAGACAACCACAAATTACACCCAAACTCACGAGAGAAATAAATGTAGGCCATACAAATATTTCTCCCGGCCCGGGAATCGAACCCGGGGACCTCTGCGTGGCAGTCCGGTATGGTAACCGTTCGGCCACGGAGGCAGTTGAGTTTTTGACGACGTGCATTATAGAGTCCTGTCAATACTTGTGATTCATAATCAAAGCATCAAAAAAGCTAATTGAGTACAGCCTATAGCAGCAGGGGTTATAAAGTTGATATAGGTTACACTTATAACATTGTCCTGTATTTCGCTTCAGATGTTTGTTCAATTTAGCAGAAAATAACAAGTTTTCAGTTTGTTCCTAAAAATATAAATAGATAAATATATAATAATAATAAAGAACTTGCCGAATATTCCTAAATCTGCCAAACTCTGCCACATGTTCTGTCGCAATGAAAATGAATAAAAATGAAATCTGCCAGAAATGTCCCACAAATGGTCGAACTGTTCTCAGTCTCAAAGTGACATTGACATTGGCAAGAGGTCTCTTGTCAAAACATTCCTTTGCTAACTTTCGTATCTCTTATTTAAATATTATCTAAACATTTTTGTCACATTGTGTTTTATTTTTTACTTGATGTCATTATTTTTTAATTGTGCTCTTTTGTTTAGCCTCCTGCCTCTCCCAAATCAAATTACTAGCGCAAAAGTGATGTAATCCACATTCATTTTTTTTCTACAATGTTACTATAAATGATACTAAAGTACATAATTATTTTAAACTAGCTGGTGCCCACGACTTCATCTCCGTAGAATAAGTACTTTGAGTAGCCTATTTATTTGTACTACCATTAGGGAAACGATTGGTTCTGCACACAAACTTTCATCCCCTATTTCACGCCCCTTTAAGATTTATTTTTGGGACAAAAAGTAATGTCCTTTTCCTAAGTCCCATCTATCTTATACCAAAATTCATCAAATTTGGTTCATCGGTTTAGGCATGAAAACGTAACAGAGAAAGTAACTTTCGCATTTATTGTATTAATTTGAATTTGTATACTATTTTTATGTATAAAACATATTTAATCAATTAATGTTTATATACCTGAAAACAGCATCAAAATATAAAATAATTATGTACTTTAGTATTATTTAACCGCTTTTTATACCACTTTTGCGTTGCTAGTCTCAAATTTTAATATTTAAGCTCCGTTCCCTTAGTTTTTAATAATTTCATAATGTATAACCGATGCTGGCCGCGTCGATAGAGACCGAGATGGGTATTCGTACTAAATGTTTCGTGCATGAATCTCGGACTGAAGCGTTACGAAACTCAAGCGAAGTCCGCGTCTTTAATCTGAGGACGATGCATCCGCAGAAGAGCTCCTTCTGAAAGAGTTCGTCCAGAGAAGTACTTTACCTATTTCTGCCGCCAAGCAGTAATGTGACCCATTACTGCGTTCCGATTTAGAAGGGTAAGGATGCTGTTGAAATTACAAGCACATGGGACTTCTTTTATTTGAAGGAAGATCAACAGCTTCAAACTAAATTAAATAATATTAATAACAACTGAGAGCCAATTAAAGATCCACGCAAGTAAAAATATAATAAGGAATCCGGGTGCACAATTCACCTAACTTATACATAAAAAAAAGAAGAAAAACCACAGAAGTTGTAAGTCTCACTAAGAGTCAAAGAAGTGCTCACTAAGTACTCTCATTGCCGAAATCACACTCGTATTAAACAGATCAGGATCAAAAGTATTACATACAATGTTAAAGTTATTTGTCAACTTACGTCTCGGGGTGACGGGCACAGTGGCAGTGTTCCTCAGATCTTTGCGATTTGAAGCTCTGAGTGGCAGTGCCACTGTTACGAACAGGCATGTAGCTTACCACCAGGCCAACGACTTGTTCGTGCCGTCACTTGATACTATAAAAAAAATTTAAAAAATCCGCAGTGATAACAAGAGCGGCGGGCTGCGCGTGGCGTGCGCGCCCGTAGCGGGCGGGCGCAGCGTGGCGGGGTCGGGCGAGGCGCGCGCCGCCTTCGCTGCGCACGCGCGTGCGCTGGCCTACGACTGCGAGCTCGACGCCGTGCTCGACAGCGTCGTCGGGAACAGGAAAGACTGCTTCATCTCCATCAGAGGTTCGTCTTCTCGTTTCTCCTGGCAACTGTCACTCTAAATAAAAACTGATTCAAATTGATCCTGTAGTGCCTCATTTTAGTTACACATTTTTTTTGCATTGTCTGCCTTGGTATCCGGACCGAAGCTGGATGCATTTTTTTAAATTAATTTATCCTTACAATGACATTTTTACAAATAGAGTTATGGTTCTGTCAAACTTCAGAAAAGTATACCAGGTGCTTAATATTACGATCATATTGGCATAACTGATTCAGTTACCCAATTACAGTTTTCAATATTTGCCTACATTGTATCTAACAATTTTTTTTTTATTTCATTTTTGACAGACTTTACACTAAAGTGTTAGTGTTAGTTTTAAGTGTAACTGAACACCGTTAAATAATGTTGAAGTTAAATAATCCTACGTCCTCTTTCATAGTTGCCCACCACTGGTTATCTTGTTGGATAATTATAATTTATTAGGTACCTTATATTCATGACTTGAATATTCTTACAACATTTGAGAAAGCAAACATTTTTCTTCAACAGGAGTTATCGTACAAATTTAATATAACAATCCGTTCTTTTATACTCTCTACGTACTTTCTTATCAGCTAACAACTTTAAGAACCGAACTTGTAGTCATCTATCTAACTTTGTTAAAGTGTGTCATGTAAGTATATAGTACCATACGTTCCCACACCGTAATCGACTAAATTCAACGAGAGCATTGTGCATTTGCGACCACCGATCGTTACTTACGCTAAATTAATGTCCAGGTATTTCGGACTACCGCGACGGCACTCGCGGCAAGGAGTGGCAACCGCATGCGGCGCTGGCTGCCGCCGCTGTCATGAAAGCCATCGTAGCGGCCATGGACCCACCAACCGACTAATCGAAACCCTAAACGTTGCCTATTAATAACAAAAAACGTAACAGCAAGATTAAACAAAAAATAAGAGGCGTCTCTAATGATCAAAACGCATATTTCCACTTTCAAGTAAAAGGAATAAGTTATTTTTAAAGGCAGAATGAGCGGATAGTAATCGACCTACTTAAAAAAACAAATGGTAATTTTGTACTACAAACTCAACATGAAAACATACTTGAAAATGGAAACATGTCCAAAATCGATTCGAGTTGAGTATAAGTTTGATAGATAAAAATATCTCCACTTGTAGTGTTCGACTTATGATGTATGACTAGTAATAAACAGGTTTACTTGCCTTAGTATTGGCTGTTATGACGGTAATAATAAATGTTTTATAAGAATTATTTACAACGTGTATTGTTAGTGAAATTTATAAACGAAACCTTTAGTGAGATTACGTGTGTCGTATATAGCAAAAGCATAATTAATTATCTGTGCATTTGTTCTATTTATCATAATATTGCTTATCGGTTTGCCTTAGTTTTATTGCATAACAGCACTTATGCCAAATATGTGTCAAATAACGCTCAAGCAATGTCTTCCTGCTTGCAGGCCAAAATAAAGGAAAAATAATTAAATTCCAGAACTATTTATAATTTGTCTATGGTCTCAATTGCAGTTACCATAGTTGTGAAAATTTATTCAAAGCTTTATTTGAAAAATGGCACTCAAAAGCCAACTGCCAATGCCACTTTTTATTCTTTGTCATTCCATCACACGTAGCTTAGTAAATGTATGCATGTTTCTAAACTTTAAGAATTAATCAAATAGATAATCAAGATATTCAGCAACAGCTGTTGAGCTTTAGAATGTACCTAGAAACACGTTAGACCTTTATAAATATATTAACCTAACACATAACTTATTTACACTCTACTGACACTGCCATAAATGGCCTATTTATAATAAGGTATATAAGGTAATTTATATAATCAACAATGTTGTTTAATCTGTTGTGAAGTTATAAACCAAAGGTAGACTTTTGGCTGTTTTTTGAACACCAGGTCTAGTCGCCTCAAATGTGACATTAAGATATTTATTTACAAATTATTTAATATTTATTAAGAATCACTGATGTTGTATGTCACGTAGATTTATCACGAACCTTTTAAATATGTAGAATATATTGGTCTTTCAAAAACCTATCTGTATGTAATTCATTAGTTTTACCCTTAATTATATTTCAAAGGTACAAGAGCACATTAAGCTACATATTTATAATTTAATTTCAACTCTATGCCACTTATGATAAGACTGGTCCAATGTCCAGTGAGCTGGATGTGCTCTTGAACATAAACCACATTTACTTGTGCCTCTTTTTATTTTCTTGCCTTTGGCATTTCATGCTTTCTTCTATTCTTGTTTTTTCGTATTACTTTATTTAGTGTACAGTGCTTCTATTTTCTCAATGTCTCTCGGCCAAATTCGTGTTTCGGCTGTCGTCGGGTTTTATTTAGTTGCCCTTTGCATTTGGTACAGACCGAACGCTTTCAGATGACTTGGAAGTATATAGAGTTGCTATTACATTTTTTATTTCTTGCTATGTCAGATGAATAAATCTGCCGTCCACTAACTAAAACGCGGCTAAGTGACAAATGGTCTAATAACCGTTTCAAATAGCAAAAAATAGAGCACAAAATTCTCTTTTAAAAACAGTTAAAATTATCGAGTTCTTGGTTTTCGCGATTGTTACACATAGGAAATGAAACTATTTTTCCGGATTTAAATCGCGTATATTTGTTTTTTCAAGCAAATATACGCGACATCTCAGTCAACCGTGACCGCGGCCTGTTTGAAAAAACAAATAGACGCGACTTAAACCCGGAAAAATAGTTTTACACACATTACAGTTAAAATTAGTTAACGTGTTCGATTTATCGGAACTTACCCTAACGATGCATAGCTGAAATATCAGTAAACAATTTCAATTTTCTGAAAACGGGGTTATGGTTTTTATATTTCAAAAAAAATATTTTTTCACTTAACAAAAACGCTTTTGTTAGCAAACGGCAGAAATGTGTTCAGGGGGTCTACTCTCGATCTCCGTCTGAAACAATTACTGTCAAATAAGTAATATTCGACAAAATTAAAAGACATATATCAACTATGAAGCTTCATTCGCAACACGCGTCTTTTCATTTGGTCAAGTATTGCTTATTTGGCAGTAATTGTTTCGGACGGAGATCGAGAGTAGACCCCCTGATACGGACTGAATTGAAATTATTAATAATCGAAAAAAAAAACATTTTTTGTTATATAAAAGAAGCACAGTTTATTTACTTTATATTTTTGTTAACTTGCTCATTAACAGGAGTACATGTTTTTAAAACTAGGGAAATAGTTTTACAGCTCTATATAGTTCACACGGTACAGTAACAATAAAGTATGTTGTTCAAAATGCAAATTATTATGCATTTTAAATCTAATAATTAAATAGGCATGGGAATATAATATTCGTGTGCATTCGGAAATCCGATGATTGCCGAGAGACCTTGAGGAAGTTGAAGCACTGTGTGTATGTTTAATCTTATGTAATCTGTTGTGAGTTGTTTTAGTGCACAAATAAATTATTTCCAACCACTTCATTTGTATTATCTTGAGAATTCCTATTATACAAACGAAATATTCTTTATTTTATACAGTGATGCATTATGTAAAACAATATACCAAGGCCTTGCAGGCCCTGTAGTAAATATTTTAAATTCTAAAAAATATTTCTCTTTTAAATACTTTATTGATAATGTTGAGAAATTCCTTTGATGATTGAACTTTGCCTTTGGTATAGTAATTGTTTAAAAGCTTTCCCATAAAATAAAAAACAAGAAATGTTTTAAAATTTATTTACAACTTCAGTTGTATCACATCATTTTAGAAGAAAATCACAAAAGTAATCAATCATTATTTTATTCAAAACTTACTAGCGGAATGCTTTTGATGTAGTAAAGAGGATATTTTGGTTTAAAAAACCTTTCATAGCCATTTATTTTCATAGTCATTCATTCTGAAAAAGAAGTTTCGACATTAATATGTGAAAAAGCCCTAGTATAATTATAACAAGCACTAAATTGAGACACACGGTACAGAAACGGATAATAACGGCTCATTGTCATTATATAGTTGATGCAAAAGAACTTAATTAATTAATTTGAATGATTTAAGGCGCCGTTGTTGTAGCTTAACGTCATGCGATTTTTACTATTGTGCTGTTACCAAACACATAACAAAAAATCGATTGCGCTACAGCCTGGCTTGAGCAACGGAACCAAAAACAATTTATCAATTCATGAAAATAAGAGACTTAACAAGTAGACAATGGTGAAGTAATTTCATTCCATTCCATAGCATACTTTGTGTAAAATAAAACCAATTTGCCTTACTTTTCTACTAAATATATAAACTGTATACTTCTTATATGTATAATGTATGTGTTAGTACCAAAATATCATACAATCTAAGTTAAATTCATATCATGTGAACATTTAGTGTTTTATAAAATAGAGTGAGTATTTATGTGTTAGCACTTTAATTATAATCTAAGTTATTATATTGATACCTCCCACGTAAGTTGTTGTAAGTCCAAATACCATTTTTTGCTTATTAACTTAAATATATCCTCTTTTTATGTATGTTATAGGCTCCATGTTTCAAAGTAAAGAGATTACCTTGTCAGTGGCAGATTTGTCCTAAGGCCCTAAACATTTTAAAGGCTCTCGCACATTATGGCGGGCCACAGTGCACCATATTGTAAAACAATAATCTTCCTAAATCACCTTCGACCATTTTATTTATAAAATATAGGTATGTCTCCTAGTGGTATATGAGTGCTGAGAAAGGAGTGGCTAGTACTGACTACATGGCCTGGGGCCTAGGGCGGCCAAGACTGCAAATCTGCCACTGCACCTAACGTCATCTTTCAAACATGGAACTTTTATTATAGGTAGGTTAAAAAGGATACATTTAAGTTAAAAAGCAAAAAATGGTATTTTGTATCAATATTTATATTACATTGCGAACATCATAGTTTAATAATAAAAAAATAGTATACAAACTACAAAATGCAATGTGACGCTAAATAGTATTTTTTTCCCTTTGTTTTGGTTAGTCAGTCTGACAAACGAGTGAATTAGTGAGACCACATTAGTACAAACACACACAAATCAGTGTCATAATTAAATTCAGTTACTTGCATCAGTCTTAGAAGCATGGTGACCGATGTCCACCTTATTATTGTTGATCTTCTATAATTATACAAAAACACTAGTAAGTCAAAACAAATCGTTTCATATGGTTTTTGTAACACGTAATTAAACATTAGTACAAGCTGCATGGCAGTGATTTCATCATGGCATATACAATTGCACTTTTTCATACTGAAGAAGTGCTGTTTAAATTATGCACTTTGCAACTTTCCAAATTTAACAGAAGTTACCTCACGTACATTGTATAATCAAAATTCAACTTTTAAAACAAATTTCAAACATAAAACTATACATACCAACATATTTGACTTCATCAAAAGCCTTTCTAGCTTTCTTTAGTTCCTCATTCATAGTGAGCAAATCTTTGACACGGGCATATTTCCTAGGATCCTTACGAACTAAAAATATTATATCTTCTACTTGTACTCTTCCTGTTCTTCCCACTTCCATTGCTCTAAAGATAAAATTGCAAATACACAAAACATTTATTTATTTGTACCCTTTATTCAAGAACATAAATGATGTATATGGATTTTCAACGTGCTAATCATCTTCAAAGATGTCTACGACAAACTTACTTGTGAGTAGTTTCTGTTATAAATTCTATAACCAGATCTTCTAAAAAGTCTACACTTTCAGTATATGGGTTTTGATCGTCTCCAAAGCCATACATCATGCAACGAAGCTCTTTACTGAATAGTCTCTTTCGACCGGAGGCTGTGGCTCCGAGCTGCTGCTCTGACTCGTCGTCCTCGAACTATAAAGTCGTCCAAAGTTTAAATTAAACTATCCAAAAAAATTTTATAATGGGTGAAAAGAGCGACTTCTTACCTGATCATAGTTTTCCGGTGTATCTGGAGTTGGAGTAGCCATATTAACATAATTTAGTTATTAGTTTCTAAGTGAAATCTGTATTTAGGTTTCAGGTAAATTTGTATACGATACGAATTTACAACAAAATAAAAACAGCTATTGAACGAATTATTCCATTTCCTACAATTTTTTTTCCCATCCCAAATACTTAAATGTTAGAGATGGGAATACGAATGATTCATTCGAATGAATAATTCGAATGCTGCCCAATCGAATAATTCGATTGTGAAAAGGGTCCATTCGAAGTATTCCATTAGAAATTGCCACATCTTGTTTGACCTTCAGGTTCATCTGTTTTTGGACATTTCTTAATATTTCAGCGGATTTCGTGCTTCTTTTAAAATGCGCCACCAAGTCTCGACACTTAGTCAAAATTTGTGCAACATTTTCGAATTTCTTGATAGATTAATTGACTGTAAGAATTAGGGTCGTATTCCAGAACTCTACTCAATGCTCAAGTCAGGATCTGAGTATGATTTCAAGCACTGGAAATACGACCCTGATAGCAGGGACTTGAGTATGATTTCGAGTGCTTTAAACCGTACTCAAATCCTGACTTGAGCATTGAGTAGAATTCTAGAATACGACCCTTTAGGTGTGAGCAACGCAGGGATGATGGTGTTTATTAAGCAGTTGCCCACCTTTTTTATGTTTGCGCCAAAGCAGAGCCAAAACTGAAATTTTATCAAATATATTAAATTCGTCATAAATGCTTTTCAACACTGCGGCGATATTTTCGGCTGTGTGGTCCTTAGTGAGCTCCAGTGTCTTTAAGGCTATATTGTACATTACATTATCCTGTACAAAATGAGCGGTCACACAAACATACGAGGGGAGGTCCAAAAGTCCGCAGAATGGAGGGGTTGTAAATAATATAAAACAATAAGGCTATTTTTCCTTTTCAATATAATTACCTTTGAGCTCAATACATTTTTTAGATCTCGAAATTAGCTTTTCTATGCCATCGAAAAAATATTTTTTCTCTTTGCTCTCAAAATGAGCTAAAATTGCTGCCTTAACCTCTTCATCGTCGCGAAATTTTTTCCCACGTAATTCTTTTTTCAAATTTGGGAACAAATAATAATCGCTGGGGGCTAGGTCCGGGCTGTAAGGTGGGTGGGTCAGCGATTGAAAGCCACACTTGTGTAGAGCAGCCATCGCAACATTGCTCTTGTGAACCGGTGCGTCGTCTTGCAAAAGCAACACACCCTTTGTCCATTTTCCCCGCCTTTTTTCTTTGACAGCTTCCTTCAGTCTCTCTAATGTTCTTGCGTAATATTCTCCCGTTATATTGACCCCCTTTTCTTTGTAGTCAACCAATAAAATTCCTTCACAATCCCAAAAAACCGTAGCCATAATTTTTCAGCCGATTCCGACACCTTAAACTTCTTAGGGGGTGGTGTACCCTTTTTATGCCATTGCATTAACTCCTGTTTGGACTCGGACTCAAAGTGATGAACCCAAGTTTCATCTCCAGTAACAATTTCCTCCAAAATTGGGGTAAGTTCTGCGCCACACAGCTCCAAGAAGTGCTTTGATGCATCGATTCTTAGTTGCTTTTGAGGCGGCGTGAGCATTCTCGGCACCCATCTTGCACTGACTTTCGTCATGCCAAGATGATCGTGTAGGATCCTCAAAATGGTAGTGTCTGATACTCCTACTAATGCAGACAGCTGTTTCTTCTTCAGACGGGCATCTTCCAATATAAATTTTTCGATTTTTTCAACATTGTCTGATGTGGTGGCCTCAACTGGCCGTCCTGGGCGAGGATCGTCTTCAATTGATTTTCTGCCATGTTTGAAAAGACCGTGCCACTTGTAAATCATTGTTTTACCAGGGCACTGATCCCCATAAACAGTCTCATTCATAATGGTTTGAGGAGGTTTTCCTTGCTTGGTAAGGAATTTGATGACAGCACGAAACTCGATTTGCTCCATATTTGCAGTTTTCTTTCTTTACTTGTTTGTAGGGCGATATCTCGTAAACTAATGAAGTTAAAAGGGTGAAGCTTGATATATATACCCTTAATGAGCATCTGATTAGTACCACATCAAGCAAGCGTAATTAGCGGGCTCCCGCCCCCTCCATTCCGCGGACTTTTGGACCTCCCCTCGTAAGCCACATTTGTATCAGCCGTCCAAATATCTGTGGTCAATGCTATGTAAAGCACCGCATCGAGAAGCGTTTTTACCTGTTTTAGGTAAAAGTCGTAAAGTTGAGGCAGTAATTTTGTAGATAATTGTTTTCTGGACGGTACATGGTACATAGTCTGCAACTCTCTCACAAAGCTCAAAAAAACCTTCATCTTCAACTATTGATAGTGGCTGAAAATCGCCTGCATCCATCTTTACCAAGGGAATGTTGATTTTGTTGATTTTACTCTCAGGTAATTTCTCTACTGACGCCAGACTTAACTGAATAGTCTTCCTGACCTTAGACTCAGAAGAAGATGCATTTGAATCGCTAGTTGAAGGTCTGGTAGTCTCCACTGCGACTTCATCGTCTTTTCTTTTTAAAAGGTCTCGAAGGTTGCTTGTATTTCCAAAATACTTCAAAGTTTTTGTGCAAATATTACAGATGACTGTTTTTTATCCGTACTTTTCGTGAAATTTTCCCATACAGTCGACTGTTTTTTAGACATTTTCACTTAGGTAAGTCACATTCACACATCCCCGTCACTTTTTATTTCATAGGTACACAGTTAAGGGTCGGAAAAGCACTCTGTTATGATCTGTGATATCTGCCAACAATCCTGCAAATCGTCAAATATCTACTCGATCTTTACAGTTTTCACAATAAAAAAGGCTTCATAGTGTACTATTGTGTAGTTCTGAGACTTACCTATATTTATTTTTATTATCATTTCACCATAGAAGTCTTGTCATGAGAACAGATTTCATTTTCGGTTCTCACAATGACCACTTCTAAGGTGAAATAATAATAAGAATACGGCGATAGTAGAACTACACAACAGTACACTATGAAGCCTATTTATTGTGAAAACTATGAAGATCGAGAAGACATTTGACGATTTTTGGCAGAAAAAAAAATTGGAGTGCTTAACCGATCCATAAGACAAAAGGAGAAAAAAAAAACAGTTTTAACACTCTTTGTAGTTTGTACCCACAAGGATAAACCCATAACTATATAGGTACAGTAGGTAGGTACCCACCTACCTCATTACATTACGCTTCAAGAAATCGATTTAACTAACTCAATTTTTGCATAAAAACAAACTAAAGTATGATTTATGTTAATAAAAATAGTAGATTTATAAGTTTTATAAGACAAAAAATTATGAATTTGTTGGAACACCGCAATAATTAGGTAAAGGAAAGGCTCTTCGAATAATCATTCCAATGAAAATTCGATTGAATCATTCAAACACCGATTACTCATTCGAATTAAAATTTGAAAAAATCATTCGAATCTCGAAAATTCATTCGAATTTAAAAGAATATTCGAAAGACGAAAAACCTCTCGAAGGCTACGTGAATCATTCGAACAATTCAATTGTTGTTGTTTTTCAACAATCGCCCATCGTTATTAAATCCATTTTATTTTTTAATAGAGATTTAACGGCTTTGGTTCCAGTATATTGGCCAAATTTGACAGCTAACGAAGACGACAGTTGAATGCGATCAACGAAACAATAAAGAAACAATTATTAGCATAATTGAGTTTAAAAAAAAATACATAAATTTTATTGGAACCATTGACTTACAATTATAATTGGAACATTATAATTATAATATGACAAAACATTTATTTGAAGTACTACACACATCAAAAGTGTCTAGGGATCAAGTACGTTTAAGAGTATTGCTGCAATTAGGGTTAATTATATTAACTTTTTTGTATCGCTATTGATACTTTTTAGTGAGTTTTAACATTTAAATAAGGAATATTGTTTAAAATTCGATAATAAGAAGACAATCGATTGTCAATGTGGTTTTGTATAAAAATGAGTTATAGCGTTTTGACAAAATCATTACAATATCTGCATCGGAACCGAAACAATTTACATTATTATGGAGAGACGACATCATTTAACCCGAGAAGTGATGATGCGAGCCGTCGGAATGTTGGAAGCTGGTTCCAGGCAACGTGCTGTGGCTTTCACTCTTAACACTATACAGAGCGTCATAAGTCGCCTCTGGACGCGCTATCGCATGACGGGCAGCGTGGCCGAGCGACATGGAGGACGATCTCGCATCACGACTCGCAGACAGGACCGGTATATCCAAAATACTGCTCGACGGAATCGTACCATGACCGCCATGATGTTGGTTACGAGGCTCCACAGCTCCTCAGCTTGCTAATAAGCGATCAAACAATCCGAAATCGTTTACGTGAAGTGGGTCTGCGATCCCGAAGGCCGCTCAGAGTTCCACCTATTGCACCCTGCAATCGCAGGACCCGTTTACGATGGGCTCGCGAACACAGAAACTGGGAGGAAGAAGACTGGCGCTATGTGTGCTTTTCGGATGAATCCCGCTTCGGTATGAGACTGGATACAAGACGTACTCGAGTTTGGAGAACATCTGGACGTCATGAACGTTTGAGATATTGTCAGGAAGTTCATCCATATGGTGGGGGAACAATAATGATATGGGCCGGTATTTGGATCGGCGGAAGAACCGATCTCATTTGGATCAGGGCTAACCTCAATGCTCAAGTTTACCCAGAGAGGATTGTTTCAGATGTTATCATCCCTTTGCGAGGCCAGTTGGGTGATTCATTTCAACTAATGCATGACAACGCACGTCCACACACGGCTAGAGTCGGTAACACGCATTCTTGCCGAAGCTCGTATCAACGTTCTGCCGTGGCCTGCTCAATCGCCAGACCTCAATCCAATTGAGCACGCATGGGATATGCTTCAAAGAAGAGCTGTGCCGAGTATGCATACCGTACATACTCTACAACAAAATTTTGACTTGTTACAAAACACATGGGCGGTCATTCCTCAAAGTGATTTTGATGAACTCATCTTAATTAAGCATGCCAAATCGCTGTAATTGTGTGATTCGTGTTAATGGTGGAAATACAGATTATTAATTTTCTTATCTTTACAATAAAAATGAGCAAAATCATCATTTTCGCCATTTTTTTGTCATCTAATTGACGCCGTCAATTTGAGTTTTTTCCCACAATTTGCAAAAACATCAATTTTAGTTGATTTTTATTAAATATAGGGGTAAGCGGTTAAATAAAACATAAGCATTAAAGTAAGAAGTCGTCCTGGAAGACTGGATTTGGTATTGCTTAAATAATTTTTATTTCAAAAATATTCACTTGATCCCTAGACACTTTTGATGTGTGTATTTTCGCACGAATTCCCAAATAAAATGCAATATCGAGTTACTCCGAAACGTCCTGAAAACAGTTGTCCTCAAGCTATTTTTTAAAATAATAATGTTGTAAGCATATATCGCCGAATTTCACTAAGTCACTTCGATTTCTCGGAAAAATATTGACTTATTAAATATTAAAACAAAAATGTATAAAAATAGGTGTATTTTAAATAATTATGTATATTACATTTCTGACCACACCTATTGCAAATAAATTTATAATTTATCAAATTTAAAAGAGCCCCATACTATAGCCAGATTTGTATTTCCTTTTCTTTTTGAATTGAAAATTTATGAAATCCTTGGTTTCTTAGTAATTTAAACTTTTTATGTACTTGTTTTATCGATGAACATACTTATTTACACTAAATTCTCGTAATAAACCATTTATGAATGTTATAAAATCAAAATTAAAAGAATTGGATACAATTCAACTGAATGTGGGACGTGTGACGTGAGACGACTTAAATCTCAATAAAATACTTCTAATATAATAATATTACTTTTCTAATGCTTTTCTACAATAAATCCATTTCACATAAGAGCTCATTTACACCGGGTCGTCGTCGGCCGAATCGGCAGACAGACTACTTCGCTTGACTGACAGGCGACGCAGTCAACTCGCCGTTAATCGACTTCATCCATAAAGGATGGATACTTGATCGTCGGCGATCGTGACATTTGATACTTGTCACTTTTGTAATCAGTTGGTACCATAGATTTAGTATATATATATATAATATATATTATATAACTAAATCTAGGGTTGGTACCTTTTTTATTGTTTACATTACGGGCGGCGATAAGAGCACTTAAGTAGCTTTTGTTTAGACTACAATTATGATTGTAATACGACGACTTTATTTGTTAATTTCTGAGTACACTGAACACTTCTGAGAAATTTTCATAGTATTTTACGCTTTAACTCGTAACCACTTTGTATATTCACTTTATTAAGAAACAAAACATATATAAAGATGACAAGCATTTAAATACCTATCGATTAACACTAGAATCATATGAAAATAATGTGTAACTATTTTTAAAATAAATTAATAACAGTCGCGGGTAGGGACGAAAATCGCGAAAGTTTACGAAAATGGCATAAAAAGACTATAAGTTGCGAGGAAGAAAATTGACAAATCCTATCACAACTCATAATGTGACGACCTATAAAGGTTTTCGAATCGATGCGGTAGGTCGAAGCGTCGCGTCGCGTCCTGATTTTCAACTACACGCACTGGCGACGCGCGACGACACTCGCATTAGTGCGCCTGGATCACAGTGTGGACGGCGTCTGACGCCTCACGGCCTCCTTGTGAGTATAGTGTTCTGTGCTCACGGCGGCGCCCAAAAGATGCGCGGCGACGGGCGTCGACGCGCTTAGCCGCTCGAATGCTACCAAGCGTCGACGCTCGATCTCATATTTGCAAAACACACATTTGTACCTTAACAATGGGAAAATGAGATGAAAATGTTATACGACGCTTGGACTCTGCGCCAGTGAGAGTTGAGGCTGTTCAGTGGAAACGAGTCGTCTGAAGTTGTGACCATGAACTGTCACAAGTTCTTTTTAACCAAAAATTCCTTACATAATTGTGTTGAAAAAAAAAAACAAGTTTTATAATAAAATTAGCGATATTTATTAATTTATTTTTTATCGGTCATTGTCTTTTGCCACATCTTCACGAATCGCAACGCATATAGCATTGCGTTGTTATATCAAAATTTAGACCACGACAAAAGTCAGACTTAGGATTAAATTTATGTGTAAACGCATTGACTTTATAATTGTAAGTCAATGTGTAAACGGTAAAAATTTAGAGAAAGTTACTACAAGTAGCTTCCTAGGAATAGAAATTGACTCACATATTGATTGGAAATCACATGTACAAAAAATTATGATGAAAATGTCCCAATTCACCTACGCTTTACACGAATTAAAATATGTCACAAATTTAAAACCCGCTTTATCAGCCGGTTACGAGGATGGGTTTGCATGGTTAAATTACGGTTAAATTACAAATATTAACCCTACCTTTTATATACATATTTGAAATGGCTAAATTTATTAGAAAAAAATAGTGAACTATTCATTAGTGTTGTACCCACTTCTGGAAGACCGTCTAGATATAAGAATATATTAAGCCTTCTGCAAAGTACATACATTAATAAGCATCTATCAGAATAGTCCGTATTATATTGCAACCCAAATACCTAAGATGTGAGACAAATTACAAAAATTCACTAAAAAACTTAAAGTATTATTAATTGACAAGTGCTATTATAACTTAAATGAATTTTATATTGACAAACTTGCGTAGTTTTTGGTTAAATTATGTTGTTATGTTATTTTATGTATTTGACGAAGGCTGATGATGGATAATTAACATGTTATGTTAATCTAAATTATATAATTTTTAAATAAATAAATAATTTTTTATTATATTTTGTAATGTGCGAATAATAAATAATGTAAGCCAAAACGTAGCAACTAAGTACAATACCCCTGCGGGGTGTCATAGCAATAAGTACTTACCTAATGGAACGTGTATTGTTGTGACTTACATTTTAAATAAATAAATAAATAAATCGTGGGAACACTTCTCACACTTGTATGGTGTTTCTATATAAACGAGTGATATACGATGTTGCAAAAAATACATCTATAATGTTCATCGTAATTGAGGTATTTTATCAACAACCATCAAACCATCGATGTGTCAACTGTGGGTAGGTTAATAAATGGTAAAATGTAAAAATCCCACATTATTTCAATCCGCACAAATTCCCCGCAGCTTGGGAAATTCTCTATAAGTTGGTAACTCTCTAGGGAGTGCTGCGGCACGCATATTTCGGTGGAGCGCTGCGACCTTGCTCGGTTGACAGTCGCTTACCAGAGGCGACCGTGTCGCCCTAGGGTTTACATCGCAGTCGCTTCGGTCGACTTTGCTCATACTTCGCCGGCGAACTATCGTCGTCAGAGGTGCACCAGACGCGCCAATGAGCAATGAGTAGAGTTCTGGAATACAACAAATAGACTTTTCTGATTTCACCCTGGCAACCCTGGTGCAATAAGTTGGCTCAAGAAATCAAAGTATTCAGAGCTCTAAAAACAAAACAAAAAACTTCTTGGTGGCTTAAAATATCAAAGTAGCCGGAGCCATAAAATAAAAAAGAATATATCAGCATCCGCATCATAGAATAATTAATTAACATTTGAAAATAAAAACTTTATTATAGTGATATATACTTTTATTTCAGGACAAGTAGCTGGGTAATATTACACAATCAAAATGAATCCTATGACGTAAGTAATTGTTAATTTTTGGAGGTGACTGAGTAACCTTTATGCTCTCATAATTATCTCTATAATTATTTAATTTTAGAAATGTTAAGAATGTTTTGAAGCTAAGCGAACGTGAACTTAGTGGTAATTCTAAAAGCTCTTGGCATGATCAATACAAGGACAGCGCTTGGTTATTCATTGGTGGACTGCCGTATGATCTCACGGAAGGAGACATTATTTGCGTATTTTCACAGTAAGTACCTAAATCTTACTCTCAATTGTATTAATATTTATTATTTTATTTACGTTAACATCAACTTCATTTCACGGGCTACTTATTTAATAATGTCTTATTACTGTGTCCAGTACATACTAATCTCTAGTAATCAAGTGTAACATATGAATTGCTGCGCTGTATCCACTCCTATGCGTCCCAGTTGCTGGGTAGGAGACACGAAGGTCGGGTTACCTTCTGCCTGGATATATTTGGTTTTTTCACTGTCTGTCTGAACATTGTCATTTGTTCGAATCTAGGGTTAACAATTTTCAGAATAAAAAGGATTGAAGATCATTAAAACATTTTAATTTCAAAGCTTAAGCATTCGCACATAATTTGTGATGCAAATATATTGTGAGTGAAACAAATCAATCTCAAATATTTATTTGAATCAGCAATTTGCTCGAAATAGCCAGAATATTTATATTAATATAATTTGTGATAGTCAACAAAATGTTAGTGGATGTGACATCACATACCCTAAAATATAAATATGGTGTTTGGTAAGAATGTACAATAGACTTAATGACTCTTTACCCATTTATATATCCTCAAGTTTTACGAGCATTTCATTCTAGATATGGTGAAATAGTGAACATCAACTTGGTGAGAGACAAAGCAACAGGTAAATCAAGAGGATTTGCTTTTATTTGTTATGAAGACCAGAGATCTACTATTCTTGCTGTAGACAACCTTAATGGCATAAAAGTGAGCATATTTCGTTAATTTTATAATTTATGATTTTAACAACTCAATGATTTTAACTTAATAAAATTATTCTGATGATTCCAATGTTTGTGGTAAATAACTACATTTCATGTTGTAGTAACATTTTTCTTTTTTATGATATCAAGAGATTGAACGAATGAGTCGTCGTCAAATGTGTACATATGGCAAATTTTTTAAAACAACAATTGTTTGTAATATTTAACTACAAATTAGAAATTATTCATTATAATATTTAGTGTAGATAAACCTCTAGTCTTTTGTTATAATAATATATTCTAATAATCAATTCCAGATCCTGGGTCGAACAATGAGAGTAGATCACTGTGAGCAGTATAAAGCGCCAAACGCAGACATGACTAAGGTGGATGAATTGACAGCCGCAGTCAGAAATGAAGGGTGTGCACCTTCTGCACCAGTAGTGACCAGAACTGAGGTCAAAACTGAAGTAAAGTGTGAAGTCAAACAGGTAGCTAGTACCTTCTTGTAAAACAATTCTCTACACTCATTATTTGCGAAGCTTTTTTATTACTTTTTCTATAGAGCTCAATAAGTTATAAATTGCTTCTTTGGTTTATATAATGAATTTAAAATAATATAAAAAAGTCATAATTTTCATTATAATATTTTGCAGATATGATTAATTTATTTTTTGTGTTAATTTACAGGAGAAAGAAAATAAGGAGAAAAAAAGGAAAAAAGAGAAAAAAGAAAAGAAAAATAAAAAGAAGAAGAAAAAGAAAAGAGACAGAAGTTCCAGTTGTTCTAGTTCTAGTCATGGTTAACTTTAGACATTAAAGTAATATTATAACTTTAAAGTAAGTATCTTTATTTCACTTCCACAAAATAATACATCTTAATAAATTATAACAAATATAATGATGACACAATACAACAAAACACACAGTAACACTTAAAATATGAATTTAATATTGTAACAACAACATAGAAACTTGCTGATTAGAAAATTACACTAAGATAATTAAATTACGAAATATCACAGGAAACACGATAAATACAAGAAACATTTGATTAAATTTCAATAATAAACGATTCCATAGAAAATATAAATGCTTTTATGAGATCGACATTTAATATTTCAGGTACAGATACAGGCTAAGGTTAATTCCAATAAATAAATAACAAATTATAAACATTTCAAATTAAAATGTTTTTAATTTCATCTAAGACTTCTGGCTTTGTATAAGCTATGATGCCTTCCACATTGGCATATTGTTGTGTGTCAATGTTCATTGGGTCATTGTATGTTACAGGTACGTAAGTAGTGTAGGAGAGTATATCTCCACCTTTTGCACATAGAATGGCGTGCGGAGCGCAGGTGTCCCAACGAAATGTTGTTCCTTTTGATACTATGTAGGCTGCAGCTTCTCCTGAGAACAAAATATGTACCATTGCAACTGACAGAAGAAACAAATTTAATGAATATGATATATCACATACCTTATGAAAGAATGGCATAAGTGGAGTTGCGTACGTAACTCCACTTATGCCATTCTTCTATATATTCTATATATTTATTTAATATGAACCTAAGAGTTCATTTTCTTCTTTAAAAATTAAGTTATTGAGATTGATGACACGTGACCTTACAATAACAGATTAGTTGTGAATTTATACTGTACTAAAATAACACCTCTGCTGACCTTACCCCAAATTTTCCTTCCATTCGCTCTATACAATATCAAAATGTATACATATAATCAATTTTATACAAATCTAATGTCAATTAAAATATTATAAACTATTTACTATACAGGGTTATTTGTAAAATACTAACAATCTCTTAGGAATATATTACTAACATCATGAACAACCACTTTTTTTCTCTGAATTTTAATCATGATATTTTACTTTCGTACAAAAATAAAAATATTTATTTTAAATAGCTCTGTCTAAACGATGATAACTCTGTGCAGTAGCAACAGGAAGCACGCGGGAGGCTTGCTAACAAGTTACTGTCAAAATGCGGGTCTAAAAAGTTTCAGATATTACAAGAAAAAATTGAAAGTTTATTTTATGTAAAGTTATGTTTTTAAAAATAACTCTGTATATTATACTGTTTACTAGGTTTTGAATTTTTATTATTATTGTTATTATTAAAAAGGCATATATTAGGAGAACAAAATATGGACTTTTTGGATTATTCGTACCTAAATAAATTTTGAGCTTTTGTGCTGAGAATTATTTAGGCAATGCGCATGTTGAGGTATAACTCAGTCTATACCAGTTATACTCAACCTTTTTTCTTTCGGGCCCCATACACGTTTGCTATGTTACACGGCACCCATACATGGGCCGCAACATTTTTGAGTGATGGTCATTTTATAAACTTGGTGAGGTTTTACATTTACTCATCATCTGTTTACACATCCACTGCGGGACATAAGCCTCCCGGTCCTGTGCCGCCCGCATCCCGCCGCTGGCGGCCACTATATTTACTCTCTATATAATAAAAGTGATATTTGGTATTGATACAAGCTGTTTATTATTTTACTCAAATCAGTTTTCTTTACAGTCGTCTTACTTATTTCCAAAATTCCGGCTATTCGGCGTATTCGTTTCCTTCTCTTCGTTCTTTAAAAGTTGCTTATTTTCGTATTGTTCTTAAACTCGATAAATTCATTGAATAACCTTGCATAATCAAATCTCAATGTAGCTAATTGTGTTATAGTTTCTTTTTCTATATGGGTCATATTCGTCTAAAATGTACCTACATTTGCAGGTAATTTTTGTCACTAACCTTTTTCGTGGTTAAAAGTATAATTAAATACAATAATATTATTTTATACCGTTAAAATTATATATTGCTGGTATTTTTATATCACAAACCATTAAGAGCTCTGATGCCAAAAAAGTTTTGACGTTGGCTCCGCCCAAATTTGTGAAACAAATATATGCCTGAAGTTCGCGTGACATGCGACAGGAGATGTTGAATTTTGCGCATTAAAAGTACCAAATCCGTAGTGACAGTTGTCGATCATGCATAAATATAATTAATTATCTAATTTTTGTCCTAATAACCTGTAGCATTTCGAGGATAAATCGAAAAAAATTGAAAATTAGAGGTCATTTCGTGATTTTTATCTATCGAGGAAACTGTATTGTTTTATGTTTCTGATTAATGTCTATGCTTGAATATATCGTGTAGTTACTCATACAATATTTTATTTTTAACTTTAAAGTGGATATACCCCTCTAAAATCAAATCGAAGATTAGGAATTTTTCCTCTGCTCCCTCTTAAGTTACTCTACAATTTTAATAAATTCTAATAGTTTTTTGAACAATTAAAATTTTAACAATTTTACTTTCTATGAAATTTTAAATGTCACACCGCTCGGGTGTCGAATTCAACGGATCGTTACAGCCCTTTTTTTTCCATCCTCTAAGTTACAGCCGCCGGTTAGCAGAGAAATTCATGAAGTTGACATATTATGACTGTAATATTAATATACTTATTAGAATTTTAATAAATAATTACATTTTAAAACAATGTTTAAAAAAATCATTTTAAATTACTGTAAGTCTTTTTTTCCGTTTTGTAACATTTTGTTTCGTTACGCAAATAGAACGTTACAGATTCATTAAAAACAAATAATAATCAATTTTAATGTAGGCATAGTTGTTCTATCAACGAATGTATCATAGACGTATGCCTATTTTAAAACGTCAGCTGTGATTTTCATCGCTCCTCAATTTCAGGTACATTTAATTTCGGTTTCGTTACGAAATTTCAGTAATTACGGTAAGAAACCTATCAAATTATTTAAATATTTCTTTGTTTTTATGAAGTACACTTAAAATTACGTAGTAAGGCTTCATTTGATCACATTTGCGAGCAATTATTCACAGGGCTAAGTTACATTTTCTTGGTTTTTTATTGTCGGTTTAGTAACGTTTCGTTACGCAACGATACGGAAAAGGCTGTGAACATATTGATAGTGAGTGATAACTTCTAACCATACAAAATTATTTACTTATTTGTTACTGTTCAAATGCTATATAATCTGCGACCTCCGTAGTCGAGTGGCTTGCACATCGGTTTTTATGGTTTCCCATGTCTGAGCCCCCGGGTACGATCCCCGGCCGAGTTAATGCAGAAAAAAACTAACTTTTCTATGTTGTCTCGGGACTGCGTGTTTATCGCACTGTCGTAGTTTTCGATTTCCATAACACAAATGCTTAAAATTTACTTACTCTGGAATCAGAGGAAAGAAAGATCAAGAGATACAAAGACAGAAATGGAGGTACGAAAAAAGAAGTAAAAATAATGTAAGCCTACAAGAGATAATAAATTTAAATTGAAATCCTGCATATACTCAACTAGAGCTGGAAAACAAAAAGCTAAAAAAATATTCTGATTTTGACATAAACAAAAGAAGGCTGAGACAACAAAATTATAGGCTGAAAATAAAAACCTTGACAACTTTTCTACTATGCCTAGAAAAAAAATTAAATTATGTTAAATCAGCCTATATTGCGAATAAAGACTCACTAAATATTATTATTTGTTTTTATGTCTTACATTATGTGGACTATACTATCAATGATTATTTCCTCGCCACGTCGTGGAGTGAAAAGGAAAGAATAGAATCGGTTATTTTTTTATTAAATTGAGTTTAATTTCTCAACTGTGCCCATGCCCTTATGTTCCGTTTCGTTATTTTCGTTACTTTACGTTTCGTTTCTGTTTACCCATATGCTAGAAATTTTCAATAAAAAATAAAAAACTACGATTACGATGCTTTCGCATGGCCAGGAATGGGCAAGCGTGTGAATGAACTGGGGATGGTGGAAGTTAAGTATTCTATACGACCATTCGCAATGACCGATGAACGTTCTCACGCATCTCGCTTAAAATTTTAAAAACTTGGAATCTCATCATTTTAAAAAGTACCTTCATAAAGATAGTGTTACGGGCCTCTAATAAAAACTTGACTGGGCACAGGTTGAGTATGACTGATCTATACAATATTCATACAAGATGTATATACAGATTGTGAATCTTAGATAAAATAAATTTGCCTAACATTCATATAAGATATGCAATGGGTCAGTGTACCTAAAGCAACTTTCATCAGCTTATGTCCAGCACCAGGCACAGATTTCACTAACCATCCATTTGCTTTAAATTTATCAGCTAGTACAGGATTTTCTGCTGCACTCATAAGTATTGTCTTGTTCCCTGTCTCTATTTCACATATGTTGAATTTCTGTGTGCCATTGTAGTTTACTCCCCATAATATTCGGCCACTGCCACTGCAAAGAAACAAAATCTATTTATACATAATATATTTTATGAAGTTTCTCAACAAGGTATGATGTGAAACACAATGGCACAACAATATTTTCTGCACACACCACCTTTTTTACACATTTATTTTATTTTTAAATATATCATTTATTTCATTGTAGACAAGCAGCTTTTGCTGATGTCTACTACATCACAGTAGTGTTGAAATTTTTATTTTATATTTTATTATTTTTTCATTATTATTTATCTACAATCAGTCACCAGAGTATAATTAAATTGTATGAGTAATGTTTGAGAGCGAGGAAGCCACTACTTGAACCTCTCCTAGTCATTGAACACATGCTGTCATTTCAGTCTCTAATGTTACCATCATCTACCAGTACTTTAGTGAAAGGATTCGGATGAGTGTTGAGACGATCCCTGCATTTACGTCTATATAAGTACATCACTTCTAGAATAGTTGGGATCTCCAGATATACACTCCTAGATACACAATTCGACCCACTGTGCATTATAACTTTTAAACGGCTAGTATACAAAATTATTGTTATCATTGAAGAAAAAGTTTCCCCAGTTTTACAAAGTAAAATTTTCAACAAGGACATGGATATGGATTTAGTCTACCAGTTTCAAAATTGCATTATAGTTTTTGAGCAATCAAACATTTTTTAGACTTAGAGCATTTAATACTGAAAATGGGAGGTGGCATTCTTTGTTTTAAGTTTAGTTCACTTTTTTTAGCATCTATTCAATTTTTCATAGTGTTTTTGAAGGCATTCACAGAGACTGCAGAATAATATCTTCCAGCAGCTTGTTATGGAACCAACTCTTGATGAAGAAGTTATGATGTTACATACAGGGTTATTTGTAAAATACTAATAATGTTGCAGGTCTATCTTAATAACATCATAAACAATAACTTTTTTCCCACAACATTATCATCATCTTATTTAAGAGCCAGACTCTTGTCGGTGTAGCCTTTTCCACTCCGCAAGGTTCCTTGACCTCTTTATACAACATTATACAAAACATAATTTTACCAACAATAAATTTTTAAGTTTTTGTTGTACTATTTATACCTTTTTAGGTCTGTATCTGGTACTAAGTCCAAATGTGCAAGTGTCCTTCCTGATGATCTTCGCCTTTGCTCCTGCGATTGCACAGAGTTATGACCACTTAGTGCCATCTATTTCAAATTTATTATTTTTGTAAGAAAGCCTAATGCGATGAATTATTAAAAATAGTGGAACAATAGTTATTGTTTTGATTTTAGTCATATAGTCCTGCAAGATTGTTAGTATTTTACAAGTAACCCTGATATACATTGTTACTTGTATATATGAGTATAACGAAATTTCAACTTGTGAACACTTGATGGTTTCATGTGTTTATTTTTTTTGACAATATGTCTAATAATCCTATTGCACCATTTGTAATGTTAAGATTAAAACTGTTATGCTTACTTATTATAAAAAGGCTGATTAATAACTCCGACAACAGGTTCTCCTGTGGCCCTGCTGTATGCTCCAATTAACACAGTGACACATGGAAGCCCTCGCTCACTTTCTGCTTCACCTCGAACACCAGCTATGAACTCAGCTGTAGCATCTAAAGGTGTGAGATTGTTATAATAAAGAAAATTATTTAAAGTGAATACTAATAAACTGTGCAATGTTTTGACACATAACAATGTAATAGGGTAGGATACATGGATAGGCGTGTCACTTTCCACCAGGTGCACAACTTGTTCATCTCGTCACTTGATGTTATAAAAAAAATATATATATTATACTTTGTTTCAATACATTTTAAACAAAAAGTAAACAAACACGTCATTGACCTGACTATAGACCAATTGTAATGCGAACTAAAAATTGATTAATGATTGAATGAATCGATTTGTTTAATTGAGTCGTACTAGCAGTTTTCCTTGCATGAATAGTAAAAATACATAACCTATAAAAGCATATATTTGAAATTTCTAAAATCATAATTTTAAATCCTTCAAATCTTAGATACTTGTTTGATTGCGATTGAAATTTTCGATTTACCAATTGATTACAAAAACTTTAATTGAATGAATTGAATGTTTTTTTCATACAGCACTATGCAACCATAGACAAGTCATAGAAGTATAGATGAAAAATAACCTCACTTTTGAACTAGCGTTTTTCAAATAAGATTTTACGATGCTATTCAAATGAATATTGTTGGAAAAAGTGATGAGATATCAAGTTGAAAACTCCGAAATATATGTGAAAGTGTTACATATTCGATTTATTGAGTGATTGCTTTAGAATGACTATAATACAATTCTAAATGGCATGTCATGGCACTGAAATGTGCGGATAGGCCTTCCCAGACAGGTGACATAGTTCACTCAGACTAACTATAGGTTAGTAGGTATATAAAAGTTAATTTCAAGTTAAAATTAATACTACTACATTTACCTATAGGATCAATCCAAACCCCCAATTCAGCCGGGTTTATTTCAGGTAAATCTATAGGTAACTCTTCGATTGTAATGTTTATAGCATTATGAGCTGCCTCAGCCATTCGTACAGCTGATATTTGTGGCACAAGAGAACTCAACAGCTCTGCAGTCTTGTCAACATTTTCTTGTAGTTTAATGCTCACTCCATTTATTTCTGCGCACTCTTCGCCTCGAAAATGCTTCGCGAGGTTTGGGCATTTAAACGCTACTTCGTTCCTAGCAGATTCTTGAGCAAGGACATCAGCAATAGTCTTAAAATCCTTGTCAAACCGAGCATTCGCCTCGCCTTCGCCTTTTTCGGCTACAAGCAATGATTCACTCGCGGAATCGTTGCAACAAGATCTCGCTATGTTAGCCGCGCGCTCGGATGCATATATAAGAGCTTTTAGTACTTCTTCCATTCTTTAATCCACAATTCCACAGGACACAAAAATTATGCAAATGAAAAACGAAAAATTGATTAGGAATTTTTTAAACGTCAAAGTCACTGTCAAGATTTTTTTTTATTTATTAAGGCTTTGGCAAAGCCATTAGCCTAAACATGAAGTTTAATTCAGTCCAGAGCGTATAATTAATTTTTTTTGTCAGTTTGTCCCTCTATGGATGCGCTCTGGACCTTTTGGAGGGAAAACTTTCGTTTTTATTTTGACTTTCAATTATTTTGTGAAATCTAGTTTAAAGTGGAATAGGATAGTGCTTTTGTGCTTTAATCGAAGATTAAAACACGAAATTATACGAATCTCGAACTAGAATACCCGTATCGGCCTGTTTTGAGGAATCCCGAGTCAATCCAAGCACGCCGCCTCAAATTGCCTATCCTCTTTGTGGCGCCCATATTTACAGAAACATAATTAAACTTCATGTTTAGGCTGATGGCTTTGCCAAAGTCTTAATAAATTTAAAAAAAAAATTGTCCCTCTATAGGTAAAGGCAAAGGAGACAGTCTATACAGCCAAGTCTGTTATGTATTTTCTGAGGACAAAGCCAAGTCTTCTTTCCTAGTAAAATTCTTCGCTGAAAATAATGGTAATATTAGGGGTTAAAGTATGAAATTGCCGTTTTATTGCAATAGGT